TTTCAAGTATCAGGCCACACTAGAGGATACCTTTTCCAAACTTGGATCTGTGAGGATAGGGGAACTATGAGGCAAACCCTCATCATATATAACAGGGACATTTTTTGGTTTGTTTGTAAGGATGATATAGCTTCACAGTGGGTAAGCACTGAACTACACCCTCACGGGCACTTTATTTGTGTAGGGTCTCATGCAGTCCAGGCTGGCCTTGAGCTAATTACAAGGGCTTGAAATCTTGATCCTCCTACTTCAGTCTCCCAAGTTCTAGGATGAGAAGAGTCCACCACTGTGCCCAGCTTCAGGGTTACTTTTAAAGGTGTCCACAAACAATGAAGATTAGGAATAACCTCCTAGCATTAAACCAAGCCTCCATCCCTGGAGGACCTGAGGTCCACTTGAAAACACTATGAACTGTTCTGGATGACACTAGATGTTTCACCATCTAGAAGGTGGGCATATTTGCTTTCCCTTAGTTAGATGCTGCTGTGGGAAGACACCAAGCAGAGCATCACCAGGTCACCTTAATAGCAGAAGTCTCCACATATCCTCTCTGCCTCCCAGTCAATCAAGAAAGGCAAATCTTCCAAGGTGTCTGGCAGGGAAGCAGGAGTGGCCATGTTGCGCACATGCGAGTGACATCATACAGGAGCTTATGCATGAGCCACTGGGACTGGATCCCTTTCCCTGAGGGAGAGAAGGCAAAGCCTTGATGCCCCAACCCCTGCACTGGAGAGTGCAGCCAACTCCAGGAGAGGGGAAAGGGGAGGGCTGCTGGTCTTTTCAGCTCAGGGACCAGCCCAGTAGGAGTGGTCATTAGGCAGCATGGCTCTGGGCTGGGCATGTCTCTGACAGGATTTGCATATCTGAAGAGCTAAGCATGTGTGGCCTGTGCCTCAGCTCTCCTCAGGGACACTGGTGCCCTGCAGTTCTCTGAGGGTGTTGAAAACAACCCCAAATTAGAGAGCTTGGTCTCTAATAAAGCTCTTTCTAGGGCACCTAAGCTGACCCAGGTCACATATGCGGGACAAGAGTTGGTGGGAGTCATCAATGGAATTGTCATGAGGAGAGCTACAGAAGCATGGTGAGTGGCACTTGGGTTGATTCCAGGCCATTCCATGAACACAGGAGGAAATGTAAATAAAACCTTGACATTGTTACTCATAGACTGTCCCAACATTGAAGAAAAGCTAAGGATTACTTCAAGAAAATCAGCATGGTTTAAACATTGTCCATAGCATCCAACACCCCTGAAATCTATGGCCACTCCTCTCTTCACATTGTGTCTTTAATATGGGAAATGGTGAGTGTGTGCCTAGCCTTGTGCACATGGGAAGCAGGGACCTGGTGACATTGCAATTTGTCCTCATCAGACCCTGAAATAGTACTGCTACCCAGCTACAGGAGCCTGAAACTAAAGCAGAAACCCTTTGAAGGACACCTGGTCAGCCAGACCTCTAAGCACATGACCTAGCTCTTAGGACCCCAGCAAACAGCAGCCAGCCACAACTATCTGTATTTCTAGCACCTCTCTCAGGCATTCACCTGGTCTCTGTCAAGGCAGTGGCTTTTGCCTCCCTTTCTCCAGGATGGTCTGTCTCTATGTAGCCTCTCATGGAACCAGTGTGGTCTGCTTAGGGAAACTGCTAGGCCCTGTACAAGCATGCTGAGGGGACATCAAACCACAACTTAGACAATGAAAACCAAAGGAACAATTTATTAAAACCAATACTTAAACTAACACAATATCGAAAATAACCAGAATAATAAAAACAGTTCCTCAGGGGATGGGGAGGCTGGCTGTGGGGCTGAGATGCTGGGGGTTCAAATCCGGGAGGGATTCTGTGGGGAACAAGAGAACTGGTGCTGTCTGCAGAGCAGATACTGATGGTTCAGCAGAAGGGAAACAGGTGGCAGGGCCATTCCCTGGGGAGGGAGACCCACTGCAGCAAAGTCAGATGTGCAAAAGCTGCAATATCTGCTCACATGAGGACACTCAGTATCCACAGCTGCTAACCCGTGTGGTGACCCACCGCTGCTGCCACATCTCACGGGTGTCACAGAAACTTCTGTTGCTTGTTGTGGTCTCCAGCTCCCATGTAGCTGTCTTCGTTGTTGGTTAACAGACTTCAAGCTCCAGATCTGTGCATGTGCAGCTCCCCAGATCTAAGGATGTGCTGCTGCTGCAGGCATCTCTAGAAGGGGAAGAGGCAGTGGAGTGCAGGAACAGACAACATGCCCAGGACGAGACCTCCTTCTCAGCCTTTCCAAACACAGAGGAGATCATGTCGGCCTGGAATTCCAGACCGTATTCTACAAAAGGACATGTGTCCAGGCTAGAGTCCAGTAACAGCTCCTGAAGAGGAGCCTCTCAAGGATCCCCCCAGCACTCCAGGTACTGAATCCTCCTGACAGGGTGTCAAGCACCTACCTGAGGCTTCCTCAGTGCTGGCCTCTGAGTTACTGGCCACTTCTGCCTGCAGCTGGGTCAGGAGTTCATTGACACGGATAAGAACACCTGAATGGGGAATGTTGACAATCAAGTAGTTCTTCACTTGTTTCAGAATGGACAGGTCTGATGCCTGGCAAAAATCCTCAGGGAACTTCTCAATCCTTATATCCAGGAGGGTGGAGATGGCTCTGGGTTAGGAGACAGACAGCACAGTCAGTGGCCTGGATTCTCCTTTGCTGCCCCTCTCCAGGCTCCCGTGCATGTGAGACTGCAAGCAAGAAGATCTCCAGCCCTTATGCAAATGAGCACAGTGAGCAGGGCTGTGAGGTCCATGTGAGCAGGGAGCTTCGCACATCCCTTTCTCAGGCTGTAATGGAGCACAGCTGACCAGGCCTGGATGACATGGGCTGAGATCAGGGTAGAGTCTCACTGGGGCACCGGAGGCCACAGGCTTCCTCCATATTCCCACTAGCAAGGACCCAACACAGGCAATTCTTCTCACCCTCCAGGAAATACTCTGACATCAGTATAGAAAGCAGGAGTGTGAGACCCAAGCATCAGTCATCCCTGACCCTTAGAACCCAAATGACCCGACTCTGGAGAGCCAAGGCCTTTCTCTTGTTGCAAAGCCCACTTACTCCATAACTTCTTCATCCTCTTCACAATCAGGGTAGAAGTATGCATACCTAGAGGAGACCAGGAAGGATGTCATCTGTAGAGTCTCAGGTCCCCATCCAAAAGACCTCTAGGGGGACACTGATACCTGGAGAGGAATCTAAGTCCAGCACCTAGAAGTCCTGTCTGCTCTCAGAATTATAAATTCACCCTGATACAGTAGGTGCTTCAAATATGTTTGTGCAGTGGGTGATCACAAACATCTCTATCCAGACATCCCAGTGCACACCAGGTCCCTTGGATTACCCTCCATGCGTCTCCACTCTGGACACATCTCTATTCGGTACTCCAATAGGAATTCTAGAACCTCCTTTACAATAGGAGAAGTGCTTTGATCAAGGCTCAGAAAAACTGGGCCAAGGATAGAGAGCTTTATGAAGGTGCAGAGAACATCCACACTCATTAGAGTCTCAGCTCTGGACACACCAGTCCCTAAGGCCGAGCCTGGAGGAAGCACTTTCTGACTTCATGCTGTTGGGTGAATACTCAACAACACTCTAGAAAGTAAGGAGGCTCAAAGGAAGGCAGAGAGCTTCCCATAACCAGGAGAGGATCTGAGGCCTCTGAGCTTGGAGGTGGGCACTCACTGCTTGAACAGCAGGTCCGGCACCTGCTGCATGGTGACAAACCTTTGATATATGCAAATGAACGTGAGAACAACGGAGGGATCCCCAATCTGCAGGGAAATCACCAGGTGAATCACCACCTCTTCCAAAGTACTGAAGCGGGACTTTCTATAGGACTCCTTCAGGTCCTTTGGGGCAGACTCCTTCTCAACCTGAGGAGAGATCAAGGTGGATGGTTCCAACAGGCACAGGACTACAACGTTCTGATTGGCTATTATCATTCCAAGTTTTCCTGAATCTTTACACTGCCAAACTCCCAAAGTGAAATTTGGGAAAACTCTGAGATTTCAGAGTGATTACCTGGTGTGTGTGATCCTGGCCCTGACTGTCCTGGGTCGAGTTTGTTTCTCTCCGGCCAAATGGCCAGAGGCGTTGGAGCCAGGAGTGAATCCGGGATCTCTGGGTACCACCATGGCCTCCACCATGGCTTCTTCTTTTTTCTTTCTTACGGTCTGAGCCTCGAGTAATCCCAAGACAACAAGAAAACATCCTGCTCTGACTAGAGTATCAGGACAAAGGAGCCTGCGAGGCTGTCTCTAAGCAGCTAGCTGCCTGGTTGCAGGGTTCTGCATTGTTGGGTCATTGTTAAGGAAGTGAGGTCACTTCTGGGGACCCCTGCCTGAGTCCCCTCCTCACACAGAGCCATCCCAAAAGTCTCCTAGGTTCCCTCCCACCTCCCAGGTGCCCTACTTGACACAGTTAAACAGGCACTTCCCACCCTACTGCTCCCAGGGATGTCTGGGTACAGGAAGCACCTCAGATTTGTAATCTGAGTCCCTACTGTTGACCTGCATCTATTATGCTAATCCTAAACAGCCCTAATTGCCCTGGACCACCATAAATCTTAGACATGTCTCTCTTCTAGACTACTTTGTGTGTGTTCTGTGTGAAATATGAGCACAAATCATCTGGGTGTGTCAGGACTTCACAAGGAACTACAGAGTGGGGCTTTTTTTTTTTTTCAGTTTTTCATGTTTTGTTTTGTTTGTTTTTTGTTTCTTTGAGAGAGGGTTTCTCTGTACAGTCCTGGCTGTCCTGGATCTCCTTCTCTAGACCAGATTGGCCTTGAACTCAGAGATTCACCTGCTTCTGCCTCCGGAGTACTGGGATTAAAGGCATGCACCACCACTGGGGCCCAGAGTGGAGCTTTTTCATAGTAATTAAAATCATGTGCTTTGTTGAAAAAAAGTGCAACTGTGTTAATTCTTCCTTTACTCCTCTTTGCTGATTTCTTGATTTTTTTCTTACAGACTCCCTCAGCTCTATGCACCTAGGCATCGCTGATGTCACCTCCTTTATTCTGAAAGTTTGCCAGCAAGAAATTTTTCAGGGAAAGACACTGGAGAGAGATCCAGACCCTAGGCTGGAGCCTACAGCAGCTCCTCCCACTTCCCATCTTTCCCACTGGCTGCTGAGCCCCACCACTGCCCCCATGTGGAGGAAAAGGACACAGCAGATGAGAATCCCAGTAGAAAAGTCACCTTGGGTGCAATGTCATCATTTACTGTAAACTTTCCTTTTAGGGCTGTCTCGGCTGTGTCTCAGAGATCTGAGAGGTTCTGTTTTTATCATTATTTGTTTCTGGGAATCTTAAAATGTCCTGTCTGATTTCTTGAATGATCTCCAACTGTTCATTTAACAACGCATCCTTCAGCCTCCAAGTATTTTTGTGGTTTGGGTCATTTCTCTCATTGTTGATTTCTAGTTTTATTTCATTGTGGTCTGATAAGATGTAAGGAATTATCTTAGTTTTGTTGTTTGTTCTATGTTTTGTTGAGGCTTGATTACTTTGGGAGAAGGTTATGAGCGCTGCTGAGAAAAATGTGTGTTTCTTATCTGTTGGGAGAATATTCTATATATCTCCTAAGTTCAGCTCATTAATTTTGCTACGAAGTTTACTTTTCCCTCTAGAAAGATAACAACATCTGCTTGTTTATATTTTTAATTTGCTTGGTATATTAGTCAGGGTTCTCTAAAGGAACAGACTGATAGAACGTGTGTGTGTGTGTGTGTGTGTGTGTGTGTGTGTGTGTGTGTGTGTGTGTGTAAATTATTAGAGTGGCTTCCATGCTGTGGTTCAAGTAGTTCCAAAACAATCAATCCACAGACTGGACATCTAATCAATCCTAGTTGCGGATGGAATCCCCAGGAAGTCCTAGAGAGCTGCTAGTCTTCAGTCTATGTTAGAATTCTGAAGAAGTAATACCAGCAAAGGAAAGCCTCAACAACAGGATAGATGAGCTTACCAGCAAGAATGAGGGCAAGTAGGCAAAAAGCAAAAGCTTCCAACTTCCATTTCCTATTCTATGGGCTGCCACCAGAAGATATGGCCCAGATTTAGGGTAGTTCTTCTGACCTCAAAAGATCCAGATTTAGGGCAGGTGTTCCCACCTCAAATGATCTATTCAGAGAAACGCCTTGCGTGTGTGCCCAGATTCTTGGGTTTTAGTTGATTCCAGATGTAGTTAAGTTGACAACCAAGATTAGCCATCACACTTGGTAGTTTGTTTTCCATCCTTTGACATTGTGGATTTGGTTTCCTTGCTGAGTAAGTGTGTTTCTTGGAGAGAATGTATAGTTGGTTCTTGCTTTTTAATCCAGTCCATCAGTCTATATCTTTTTAGTGGTAAACTGGGGCCATTTACTGCTGTGGAATAATCCTCTACACTGTGAAAGTGTGTTGCTCTCATTGTTAATGAAAAGCTCATTGGCTTATAGCTAGGCAGAAAGAGATTGGGTGAAACAGCCTGAGACAGGGAGAATGCTGGGGTGGGAGTGGGAAGAAGGGCAAAGTCAGGAAGTCATAGGCAGACACACAGAAGCAAGACAGACATGCTGAACTGAGAAAAGGTACCAGGCCATGTGGCAAAGCATAATTAAGAAAGATGGGTTAATTTAAGTGTAAGAGTTAGCTAGTAACAAGCCTGAGGTGTCAACTGAGCATTTATAATTCATATCCACTCTCTAAGTCTGTTATTTAGAAGCTGACAGGCAGGAAAGAAATGACCACGTACAATTTACATTTAAGATTATTATAGGAAGGGGCTTGCTATTTCCTCTAAATTTGTGAGGTGATGTTCTTCTGTTTTGCTGGATTATTGGTATTTCTTTTTCTTCTCCTATATTGGTTTTGAGGGTTTGCTGAGTTGCTGTGTTGAAGGGGGGTATTTCTTTCTCAAGTCTAGCTTATCTATTGTTTTCATAAAGTGTATGCTCATGATTCACACGAAGACAGCTGTCCTCCATTCTTCCTGTGAGGTATTCCAATATAAACCTTCTTCAGTGTCTGGCTTGGTTGTTGTGAATGGCCTTAATTTGTGTTTGTCTTGAAATACCTTTATTTCTCCATCAATGTTGAAAGACAGCTTTGCAGAATACAGAATTCTTGGGTCACAGTTTGCTTTCAGAGCTTGAAGTAACTCATTTTATGTACTTCTGGCCTTTGTGAAGGCAGATGAAAAGTCTGGGGCGATTCTGATCTTTCTGTCTTTGCCTGTGAGTTGTCATCTTTTTCAAGCTGCTTTTACAATTATTTTTTAACTTATATTTTTGACATCCTGACTGCTGTATGTCGTGGAGTGTTTCTTCTCTGTTTGTCTATATGGAGTTCTATACACCAATTTCTTTCTCTAATCTGAGGCCTCTCTCTCTCTCTTTTTTTCTATAATTTCATTAGTTTTTCTTTTTTTGGAACAAATCTTTTTTATTTAACTTTTTTGTTGACTCTTTGGGAGTTTCACATCATGCACCCCAATTCTGCTCACCTCCCGGTCCCCCCATATCCTCTCCTCATCCCTGCCACAATCCTACCACAAAAGAAAACAAAACACAGTAATCAAGAACATTAAAAAACAAAACATAAAATTCCCTTTGCTTCTCCTTCTTTCCTCCCTCTCCATCACTCTTCCCTCATCCCAGTGGCATTGGAGGCCTCGGTGTGCCATAGCGTATGCCACTTTGTCCCATCAGCTTGACTGGCAAATGTTCATTGCAGTGAGTCACTGGTCTGGTTCAAGGCCTCTGGTTTCTGGTTCACCATCCTCACTGGATCCTCACCTGAACTCCTCTGGGGTATCCTGTGGCCTCCTGAGGCTTGGAGATCTTGCCAGTATTGTTCTATAGAACCAGTCCCTTCACAAGCTCCAGCAGGTCCTAGATGGGGTAGATGCTAGGGTGGGTCAACCCAAAGCCCAGCTATGGGCCTGGGTGGTAGCCAAGCTGGTCATTCGGGGCCACTGGGGCCATTCTTTTCAGATGAGGTGGTGGAGGCAGCTCCCCTACGTGCCTGCCCTCAGGGTCAGTTCACCCTCCCTGTGGTGAGGGGAGGGGGCCAGCTCTCTTGCTTGTAGTGTCCAGTGAGAAGCAAGGTCAGCATTCCCAGAGCAGTGAAGGATGGGGCCAGTTCAGCATGTCACTCTGATTTCATCTCCCATGGTTCCTAAGGCCTCCTGAGGTGACACAGGCCACAGACATCAACACAGACCCCAGCTGCAGCTGGACCACGGACTCAGACATGGCCATTGGCAGCAGCTTCAGCCCTGATGACATCCTGGCTATGGGTAGAAGGAATGGCCACTCAGGTGGGAATGGTTCTAGCAGACATAAGGCCATCGGACACCACCAAGGCCTCAGTTGCAGCCTCAGCCCTGAGCCTCTATGTGACCTTTGGTGGCAAAACATGGCCCAGACTTCAGCACAGACCCCAGGCAAGGTAGGACCATGGACCCAACATGGTTCTCAACAACAGCTGAGTCTGGATGTCACCACTGCCCCAGTGGCAGTATGGCTCTGAGACACCAACATGGCCCACGATCTCAAGTGTTTGCATGGCCTTCGATGGTAAGAGGAGCATCGGACATCAGCACAGAGCCTGGCTGCAGTAGAGCCACAGACCCTGACATGGCCCTCGGCTGCAGCTCTGACCTGGGTGTCACCATGATGTTGAATAGCCGCTCAGGCCACTCAGATCTGGATGCATCCTGGCCTTTGGACACCAACCTGGACTCAGGTGGTTAATCTGATTCTGGGCTTCCTCATGGCACTCGGTGGCAACAGGAGCCACATACATCAACCCAAACCCTGGTCACTATAGGGCCACCGACCCAGACATGGTCCTCAGCAGCAGCCTGGACCCAGATAACACCATGGCCCTGGATGGCAGCACAGGCCACCCTGACCTGTGTGACCCAAGCTGTGGCGTGGCCCCCAGACTCCAACCAAGCCACAGCCTCAGGCCCAGATCTTGGGACTCTGTATGGGCCCTAGTGGCAACCTGGGCCACAGACTTCAAAACAGACCCCAGCTGCTGCTGGGCCCCAGGCAGCAGCTTGGCCTGGTCGACATCCAAGCTCCAAGTGGTAGCCCCAGCCACTCAGATCAGATGGCTCTGGCAGCAGCATAGCCCCTGGACACCAATAAGGCCACAGGTTTCAATTCAGACCCCAGGCGTCATGTGGCCTTTGGTGGAACCCTGGGACATGGGCATCAACATAGACATCGGCAGCCACAGTAGGTTCATGGACCCAGACATGGTCTTTGGCAGCAGCCTAGGCCTGGTTGTCTCCATGGCTCCAGTTGGTGACAAAGCCTGCCCAGATAGGTACGGCCCCAGTGGCAGTGTGATTCATGGAGCCAAAAATGGCCCCAGGAGGCGGCCCAACCCACTGGAATCAGCATGGTACTCATTGGCAACAGGAACGGTGGACATCAACACAGTCCCTAGCTACTGTAGGACCAGGGGTCAGACATAGGCCTTGGCAGCCATCCAGCCGGGACATCAACATGGACCCTCAGTCTACTCCTCACTGCCTTTACCATGGCCCCCAAGGGTGGGAGGGGCAAGCAGGCCTCCAACATCTGCCCGTTCCTCACATCTTCATTTCTTTCTTACTGCATCTTTCCATAGCTCGTGATCCGTTCTGCTTCTCTCTCTCCCATTCTCTACCACATATTTCCTTATCATAGTAAGGGCCACATGCCCATGGCTCTCTTCCCACCAACTGGGGCCTTGAGGATCCTGGCTGGATAGCCCCCATTTGAGCAGAACTGCTTGAGGGTGGGAGTGGCTTTCTTCCCACCCTCATTAGTTTTCTATGCCATTCAATTTTATGTCTGTTCCCTCTTCTACACCATTACTTTCAACTTTATCCTCTTGAATGTCCCAGATCATTTGAAAATATCATTTAGGTGCCTTAGGGTTTTTTCCCCCTATTATATAATGTCCCTTGGTATTATCTCAACTTTGTCCTCCATTCCTGAAATTCTTTCTTTTGCATGGTCTTGTCCGTTAATGATGATGTCTGTTGTAGATTTTATTTAGTTGACAGTTTCCTTCATTTCAGGTGTTTCTGTTTGATTGCTGTCTTAGTTGGGGTTTCTATTGCTATAATAAACACCATGACCAAAAGCAATTGGGATGTAAAGCTTATTTGGCTTACACTTTCACATCACTGTTCAACATTAAAGGCAGTCACAGCAGGAACTCAAACAGGGCAGGAATCTGCAGGCTGAAGCTGATGCAGAGGACATGGAGGAGTGCTGCTTACTGGCTTGCTCAGCCTGCTTCTTCTTTTTTCTGAGACAGGATTTCTTGGTGTAGTTCTGGCTGTTCCAGAACTCGCTCTATAGACCAGGATGGCCTCAAACTCACAAGTCTGCCTGCCTGTGCTTCCTAAGAGCTGGGATTAAAGGTGTATGTCACCATATCCAGCTTCAACCTACTTTTTATAGACCCCAGGACCACCAGCCCAGGGGTGACCCACCACAATGGGCTGAGCCTTCCCACATCAATCACTAATTAAGAAAATACCCACAGCCTGATCCTATGGAGGCATTTTCTCATTAGAGGTTCCCTTCTCTCAGGTGACTATAGCTTGTATCAAGTGGACCTGAAATTAGTGTACACACAACAAATTCTCTACAGGTGTCTGTTCAGAGGAGATTTCTACCAGGGTCCATAACAGATGTTACAAGCAGCTAGAATACTAATCTGAGGGATCTCAAATGAATCTAAGCACATGGAGCTCTTTAGTCCATTCACTATATTCTTCTAAATCAGTTCTCTCTACACAGCCTCTTTGCAGTTCTCATACTTAGCTCCTCTCTGTCCCTTCTTCTGCTGTTCTCTCATTGTTTTATCTTGATTCTTTTTCCTTTGTTCTCCCCAAGAATTCATTTATATATATATATATATACATATATATATGTATGTATATATATATATATATGAATTGAATATATTAACTACTTGTTTGTACAAACTACAATGCAAACTCTCAGGGACAAGGATTCTGATAAGAGTCACACTTGGCAAAGACTTGTCAGCTTAATTGGTGACTGACAACAGCTGTAGGTTGTAAAAAGTTCTGGCTATCTCTTAAAGGGATAGCTACAAGGGTTACAAGGAAAGAAATTAAACCAACAAGAGATTTAAGGAAAAGATAAAGAATGTGTACTATTTTATGTGATTGGTAATATCTGGACATGATTAGTCAGTTAACAGCTTTTTTTTCTGTTAGTCACCTGAATCTCAGGACCTATACATAATTAGCTTACTGAATGTTGCATTAAAAACTGGTGTAGAAATAAATACAAAGTGTTAATTGCTTTTTGAATCAGAGTGGGGAGGTGCTGGTGGAGGAAGCTTAGGGCAACATCGGTGCTATTGATCTGTTGAAGGACTAAGATATACCAAGGCTTGACATCTGCACTATTCTTTCTAGTTCGCTATAATTCTTCTGAAAGGTTTTGATCTAACAAGGCCAGGAACTTGCAATTCCACTCTATGAAAGTTCTACAAAGACACTTTGGCCAACTTTGCCTTGTCAATGGCTAAGGATGGAGAACAAGACCTCTAGATGTCTACAGTCCACATGGAACAATAGACCTAGTTATGAAGCATATTTTAGTATGTTTCTAATCATAAAAATTATACAGTTAAATAAGAAACCATCTTCTAGACTATCTACAATTATGTGTGCCAATAAGATTGAGATGCAATCTTGAGATTACATGTGCACATTACATGGAGATGCACGGTAAATGGGGAGAATCATAGCTGTTATTGCACAAGAAGTTTGCAACAAGAAAGAGCCAATTCATTCAAAAGGCAGTAATTCCATAACACCTTGCGTGATGGTTTCCTCCAACAGAACCCTTGGTTGTGATGGGTTGACCTTCTGAACACTAGTTGTCACCTGCTCTACACTCCCATGGTCTTTTGCTACCAGCAGCTCTCAATAGACACAATTGTTTTTCAATGTTTTATTTCCTTGCTAAGCTTTGCCTCTGTAGTTTACACTTTCACCCTCAATTTACAGTAATATGAATTCACTTTGGAGACTGTCTTCTCAAGATCCTGGGTACTTTCCTTAATTCTTACATTTGTTTGCCTTTTCTAGATAATCATTGGTTCTTTTCAAAAGCAAAACTCTGAGTTCTTCCTCAGACATTCAGCTAACTCTGTAGTTTTAGATTCTCTTTTATGGCAGCTGGTTATGGGTGATGCTTGTGTCATATTCTTTCTGTTCCCTTGCTGTGTTTCGTGAATCTGTTGGAGTAGGTTTGTTCTAACTTCCCTTTCCCCCAAGCCTATTGGAATATTTTGTTTTCTTTGTCTCTTTCTAGAGGAATACCTGTATGAAGCTCAGCTAGGGGGACTGGTGAAACCAACCCACCCTACCCCAGTGTGGACATTTGTATTCACTGTAGTCATCAACACTGCAGTTGTCTAACTTCTGTCCTGCTAACCAGTATGAAGTGTGATCTGCTTGTCTTTTATTTGATAATTTTTCCCACCATCACAGAAAGGAAAGGGAGATGAAAGGCTCTGGGAAAACAGCCCTTAGCTGATTGGGAATCGCTTCCTTCTGCAACCATAAGAAGGGAATCCTTTGTTCTTTTGGAGGAAAGCATTGCTAAACGTTATATTTTATATTGATGGATACATTCACCATCAAACTACTGTGGCCATCAATGAAGTAATACACAAAATAGTACTTTTTACCTACTTAAAGGATAGCTGGATGCAGGTTGCACTGTTTGGGTCTGCCAAAACATATTGTTTCCATGTTTTATCCAAATGCATGTTTAAATATGTGTTGTTTGGAAGCAGCTCTGAGGACCAGGAGTACAGTGATTCTGTGAAGATCTAAGCTTCCCTGGCTTAAGTTCCCAGAAACTTCCCATACCTGTGCAACACACAGAAATGAAGGAGGAAATAGACTAATGCACAAACAAGTCTAAATTAATGCTTCTCTAAGATATAGTGTTGTGGGGTATCCAGCAGAGAAGACTGCTTGGACATGGGTATAAGCCAATGGATAATCTATATTGTCAGCCAGTCCATGACTACACTGAGTGTTTAGGATCCCTTTATAGCTCCGAGCCTTTTTCGGGTGACCTTTTAAAACCACATCCTGGGTGGACACACTTCAGCTAGCAAGAACAATTAGCCAGAAACAGAAGTACAGGAGCCAAAAAGCAAGGTTAGTCCATTTAGAACTTTCCCAGAACTATGGACTGTGATGGATTAGATGGTGCTGGCTACATTCTGAGTTTTACGGCCTGAATGGTACTTCCATCACAGAGTCAGGTGTGCTGAGGTCTCAGAGCCTGTTACAATTCCTCAGGATGAACTTTGGTGGGATGGAACTTTGGTTTGTCATAGAAACCCTATGAAGGAGGAGTGGACATTGTTTATCCCATGTCTCCCCTAGGGATGTCAGGCCTGATCTGATGGTTAAGTACAGGAAGCCCTACTTGGGCCTCCTAGCAGATCCGGCCTATTCCTTTAAGAGAGAGACTTAGAAAAATGGAGGCATGTTTTGTGTCATGGTCCACAGCAGAATCCACGGTGTTTCCTTCTACCTAACTCTAGTATTAAACTGCCCATTTCAGTGTTGGAAACATTACAAGGCCAACATGGATTTACCAACCCCTGGCCTTCCTGGCCACTCAGGTCCAGTCCTTGTCATCAGAAAGATAAGGAACAGCCCCTGTGTAGGCCTGTGTCCTGGTGGCCTTCCTAGATTTTGGAATTCTGCCCAAAAAGCACACCCAGAAACAGCACCCCACAAGCTCCTCCTCCCTAACCCATTAGATCCCTGTCAAGCCCACTTTTGGTGGGTGACTGCAAATTGCCAGGCTACAGAGGGGCTTGGATGTTCCACCCTCCACAAGCCTTTGAGGCAGTGGTTGTCAACCTGTGGGTCATGATCCCTTTGGGGGATTGAACAACCTTTTCACAGGGGTCACATAAGATATCCTGCATATCAGATAATTATATTACAATTTGTTGGAGAACCCTGCATTTAAGGTTGCAGTTTACCGTGTCCGGATAGCTCTCTGAGCTCGGTGCAATATGGAGGACTCCCTTTGCAGCAGGACTCCCTCTCTACATCATTTGGATAGTGTCTCTAGGCATGGGTGCCTGACTTATTCGGAAGCTGTCCCTGAGCTTGGATGCATGACTTAAGTGTGACCTTTGACAGAGTTCCCTGCAAATGCTCTCCCCCTGCTCCCCATATGATAACTAGGTGTTGTGCTCCAGCTGTATGATAGGACCCTGCTGCCAAACACAAATTAGGTGATGCCCCAGCTGCTGTCCCCATCCTACATATTCCCCTCACCCTGAAATAAAGTTGAGCTGAAGCTGAGTCCCAGAAGCTGATTCCATCATACTCACGGGCCACACAAAGCCCTGCATGACACTTCTGCTCCCTCTGTCCTCGAAGACTGGTGGCCAATGGACCATGAGAAAAATGGAGACCCCACAATGATTCATAACAGTAGCAAAATTACAGTTATGAAATAGCAATTAAAATAATTTTATAGTTGGGATCACAACATAAGGAACTGCATTAAAGGGTTGCAACATTAAAAAAGTTGAGAACCACTGCTTTTTTCCACTGATTTTGTTTTTCAAGACAAGGTTTTTCTGTGCAGCCCTGGCTGACCTGGAACTTGCATGCGCTCTATCTATATATACATATATATTCATATTCATTCATTCTATAAGTTCTATAAGTTCTGTTCCTCCAGAGAATCCTAATACACTGATCCTACTCAACCTCCCTCATGCTGGAATTACAGGCTTGAGCCACAACACCAACGCTTTATTTTTATTTATATATTTGTTTGTTTGTTTGAGAGACAGAGGCTCTCACTAACCGTGACCTAGAACTAGAACCTCCTGCTTCAGTCTCCTAGGTACGGATTACGCACCAGCTACAACATCTCTGTGCCAGTCCTCTGCATATATGTTACGGTGTTAGCTTGGTGTTTTGTGGGACCCCCCTAACAGTGGGAGTGGGGGTGTCTCTCACTCTTTCACCTGCACTTGGGACCCTTTTCTTCCTACTGGGCTGCCTGACCCAGCCTTGATATGAAGGTTTGTGACTAGTCTTCTTGTACCTTGTTATGCCATATGGATATGCCTGGGAGGTCTGCTCTTTTCTGAAGGAAAATGGAGGAATGGATCTACAGGAGAAGGGATGGGGATGGCATTAATAGCAGGAGTAGAAGGAGGGGAAACTGTGGTTGGGATATATGGAAAAATTTTAATTAAAAAGAAAATGTCTTTAAAAACTTTTTCCCATTTCATGTGTGGGTGTGTGTACATGTGTAGGAGTGGAGATGAGCATGGACAGCAAAGGCCAGTGGCATTGGATCCCTCTACGGCTGGTGTTACAGCTGGTGAGCCACCTGATGTGGGTGCTGGAAGCTGACCTCGAATCCTCTGGAAGAACAGTCTGTGCTTTTAATCAGGGCCATTTCTCCAGCCCCAGCATCTACTTAACAGACAGCAGAACACACTAAAATCCCGGAGAGCACTAGGCTCTGCCTCAGAAGGATTAGCTAGGGGCTCCACAAGTTGAGAAGAGGAAGAATGTCACGGGGGAGGAATGATGGCTCCCCTTACCAGTGAGGAGCCTAAGACTGGGACCTGCTTCTGTCCCACCTCCTCCTCCAGAACCTCCCAGATTCCTTGCCTAGATCTGACCCAAAGGCCAGATTAGAAAGACCCAGGGTAGAGCTGGTTTTCTGATGCTGTGTCCTGCACAGGCCTATCCTCAGTGCTTGTTGAGACAGCTGTGTGGGGGCCTGTGTGGACAAAGGATCGAAGTGGGAGGAGAGGGAAAAAATGATGAGTGAGATGGGGAGAGAACA